GTATTCGTATACTCATTATTCGAATATTCTTTACTCGTTATAAATGAAACATAGTTTGGTATAGTGAATAACGAATAATCGTTCGTTCCTTTCTTTCGAGGCTTACGTATTACGGCCCATCTCTAATGGTAACTGTCACAGCCCTAAGCAGAAACTGGTGTCTAAATACATCCGAGTGTGGCCTACGTTGTGATATCAAGCTTAAGCCATAAATCCATAAGCCATAGAAATCCCCAAACCGTGATGATCTCCCCGTAACACTTTTTCGCCCTCTCGAAGTTGTAGCCAGTAAACTTCTAAGCAAAATGAGACGTTTTCCAGCTTTGTACGTGTTTTATTGAATGAGATGCGAATTTCACAAAATTCTCATAGGAACCTATGTACCTGTAAATTCCACAAATTGTGCCTTTGTCTGAAAATGAATTCTGCTTTGAACTTCTTGACGGAGTACAAACAGATTTTCAGATAGCCCGTTCTATAGCCCGTGAAAGTCTCTGTCAGATGAGGTATCGCTTGAATTTATTCATTGAGTCTTTATTTTGGAAATTGGACTTTAAGAGAGTAGTGCAGCATAAAATTAATGCTATTTAGAGCTGATTAGTCAATAACAGGAAGCAAAAAACAAACTTTTCTTCCCGTTTCTCTCAATAAATATTGTTCATACATTTCTCTATCGATCTACGCAAGAACCAACTTTTTATAATGAACGAGGAAGGATCAGAAATTTCTTTAAAAAGCAGCCCCGTTTTGGAATTTACAGGTACATAGGTTCCTATGAGAATTTTGTGAAATTCGCATCTCATTCAATAAAACACGTACAAAGCTGAAAAACGTCTCCTTTTACTTAGAAGTTTACTGGTTACAACTTCGAGAGGGCGAAAAAGTGTTCATGGGATGTCTTTACGGTTTGGGAATTTCTTAAAAATCGGTTTTTGAGATATTCTAGGAAATAGAATAGACCAGAAACCAGAATCTGCTGTCTAAATACATCCGAGTGTGATCTACATTGTGAAATAAAGCTTAAGCCATAAATATTTTGCCGCGGGCGAAAAGATAGCCCGTGTTCTGTCGTATAAATTCATATTAAAAGATAGTTTTTAAGGCTGGCTTTTTTGCAAATATTTTCAGTTTTGTCATTAGTCTTTCTCCTTGTTGACTATATGATTTTTCCATGTTAGTTTTTTATCATAAATAATACCCAAATAGTTAATAGATGCACGTGGTAAAATGTGAATATTGTCATTAACTAATGGACTATCTTGGATTAAATGTTTTCTTGAAAAATGTATAATATATGTTTTTTCAATTTGTAAAGAAAGCTGTAGTTTATTTAATTGGATTACTCTCGTTTCGTCCCGTTTACATTTTCTATCGTTCTACTCATTTTATAACTATTCATTTTTTTGTATCGCCTGTATACTAATCAGTATTAATATAATTTGATAATTGATACATAGCTTTATAAGTTACATTTATTATTTTATTTACGAGTTACAGACAGGTGGCTTAACATCATATTTAAAAGTTGGGTGATTCGAAATGTAAATGAATGACAATGAAACAGGTAATTTTACAGTATTAACACATTTGCTGCATTTGATTGCAAGCTCAGTTCCAGACAAAGTATCATTTTCATATCTTTTAAAGTATTCCTTCAATGTTCAGTTTCTTCCTTTAATGCTTCGATAAACTCACAAATATATGGATGGACACCAAAATGCTGTTTTAATCGATTATGAAAACCTTCGCCATGATTTGTTCGCGACTGATCAGTAATAATTAAATCATGAACATTCCAAATAAATGATGGAAATATAGCGTCATCATCAACATATGTATCTGTTATATAATCATTGAATGTTGTGGCTGCTTGATCATCTGGTGTATATTCTGACATAATATTAGCCCCTGTTTCACCAATATGTAACGGTATCAGCGCTAAGCCAATTGCACCACGAAACCAATAAATTGAACTTTCTTTACATTTCGAATCACCCAACTTTTAAATATGATGTTAAGCCACCTGTCTGTATACGTCTACATAAATTTTGCGAATAGTAGAAGAAACAACCAGAAATTTTGCAATTTGAAAATATATTACTCACTGCATTAAATGTTGCTTGTTCAAAATCGGATACAGCACGTATTGGTTCAACAACAATATTATATTTATTTGCTTGTGCAATAATTGTTTTCAATATTTGTTCATATGTTTTACCACTTTTATCTGATGTTAATGCGTAGATTGTTGGTGTCATGTCCGTTTCTATAACCATGAATAATATACAGTTGTGCAAATAATAATGGACGAGTTTTAAATGTACCATCCATATGCCGCGTATCAACTTCTGATAAATATTCAATACCCCATTTGGAACCAAATACCAATAAACGTGAATCAGTTTCAAGTAAATTCTTGACAATAAAAACATTATCACGAAGATCAGTACCCCATTTTCCGGTTAACGTAAGATCTGGCACTGATTTTGGTAATTTAGGATAACCTTTTAATCGTTTACGATAAAATGATGAATCAATTGATGAATATGACGGTAAAAATGATATATCGTTGTGTTTTAAACTACATTTAACTAATTCTTGTTTATGAATTTGGGATATTGGTATTGTTTCTTCTCTTGCACGTTTTTTGCACGTATTTTTAAATTCATCAACTTTTGCTTGAATTGGATCTGGTATATGTGAATGGTCTGTTGGTGGATGAATAACTGTCGAAGCATCACGAGCTAATACAATTATACTATTACAACTTCTAATTCGACAACGCCACTCATCAGTTGATTTATTCGAACGTTTTTTTGTATATTGATGATCGTTAAAATTAAGAATTTTGCCACGACGTTTTGTTTCTATATAGAACATTATTATTACATAGATGTTGTTGTATTAAATGGTGCCATGAAGGCATATGATAGTTAAATTTATAGTCCGTGAAACAATGTAACGGTCAAACCGTCAGATCCTTGCTATTGTTTCATTCATGAGTATTGTTTCTTTACAAAAGCTTTTCCGTTAAACAGTTAAACTCTATGATGGAGTATACAAAATGACTTCATTAAAATTAAATTAGTATACAGTTGATAGACAAAAATGAATAGTTATAAAATGAGTAGAATGATAGAAAATGTAAACGGGACACAAAGAGTGTGGGACGAAACGAGAGCTAATTAACAAATACGAGACGAAACGAGAGGATATCATTTAATTTTATATTTAATTGTATAACTTTAATTGTTAAAAGTTGTTAAAATCATACTCAAATAGTTAATAGCTGCACATGGTAAAATGTGAATATTGTCATTAACTAATGGACTATCTTGGATTAAATGTTTTCTTGAAAAATTAATTAATGTCAAGGTTCCAAAGCAGTTTTACGGAGTGTGACGGAATTACAAAAAACGACCGCAAACTTTTGGTTTTACTGGTAAAACTGTAATTTCTTACGAAGTTAAGGGTGCAATCTGAATCATCCTAGAAAGCATTTTGTAGCGCGCCTCTCGGGCTATCGACTGGTAAAAAATTTTTGCAAAACGCTTTTCCAGACGAATAAAATGCTTATTTTATTTCGTGACGAAATTACACACTTTTTCAGTTCTCTGCATTTTTGCATCAATATGCATAAAACTCAACTAAATCCAACTGTAATGAGTACGAAAAACCGTTTTACTGCTTACAAAGCCGACAAACATTTCTATTTTGCGCATGCGCTTCCTCAGGGTCTAATCGCCATTGAATTTTATCTTTTAGTTTTATCATTGAATTTTATCTTCTCTCTTTCCATTTATTTTGACTTAATTCAACTTTTTTAGAGGCTCTTGGCCACGAGTATCGAGAACATGCAATTTCAGATACCGTGTTTCTCCAGCTCAGGGCAAAGACCCGGCCACATTTGAGCTGGATAATTTCTTTATAGTAACATTTAAAAAGATTCAATTTAAGAATTATCTTTTTTTGCGGAACTTAAAGAGTAATAGCAATGGAATTTCTGTCAATCACTTTTACTGAATGAGTTCTGAGAGTTTCAGGAACTTGTTTCGTAGCTTTAAAGATTTGAGTTATCAATGTGATTTTTTGTGATTTCCATGAGAATTATCGAATTACTTTTTTTCTTTGCAATGTGAACGAAATCGACAGCAGAGCGACAAGCTTCATCTCCAAACACAACAGACCAAACTACTCGTTTCACAACTCCTCCAATCGCATCAACCGTGCCTTTCCCATGACTAGAAAAATTCATATCTCCGTCCAGAAAAGTAGTTAAGAGCTCAAATTCTTTCTATGGCTGGCTCCTCTATATTTCTGTGATATCCAAACAAAGTTTCACTTTTACAACTGAATCCATTCCCGAGTTACTGAATGTTAAGTTTTCCATACGTTAGCCCTCTCATAGGCTCATAACATAATGACTTTCCAAATCGTTAGTTTTCCACTAAAACTGTTGAAACTTTCATAAATGACACAGTTTTGTAGTCTAATTTCGTTTATGAAAACAAAAAAGAGTTTTCAAGCTGGCTGTAGATACTGAGGTCTCTAGAGACTTCCTTGAAAATCGGAGTTACGAAACATTAAAGTTACATAATTTCGATTAGCTTTCTGTACGTGTCAACAATCAGATCCATTCTTTAAAACACAAATGCAATATAGATGACACATACATTCTATTCAGTTACCTTCATTTTTTAATTCACGTAGGATTAATTTAAGAGCTAAATGCTATCGTGCTTAGCAGAAGAATAAATTACACACGATTAATCTTTCTCTTTTATTTGCCATAATATTTCTTTTAATATTATTTTAATTTTACGGTTATTAAAGTAGGAAAAAGATGATACGCTTTAAAAATAAAACTGCACAGAACATGATTAATACTTTAATGTGTGCTGCGGCGATGTTATATTCTCATGATTAAAGTATTAATCATGTTCTGTGCAGTTTTATACTTTCTCGACAATTTAATTCGATTTTCAAGTTTTATAATTTTGGATCTGACTTCACCATTGATTGATTTCTTCTATTAAATTATGTTTACTTCAAACTCAGTTATTTTGAAACTATTG